CACCTTGTGTCGCTGACTTGACAGTGTTATCCCAGCAGGCATCACACCATTGATTTTCTTCCTGGAAAACTGCTGTGCTGCTCCTGAGGTAGGTTCCACTGAGAATTCTCAACTGCATTATTTGGACCAAGATTTTGACTTTTGGCAGGGGGTTGTCCCAGGATTTGCTGGACTTGCAGCCAGTATGGAATTTTTAAACGTTCCCATTTCTGGGTGTGTTTTGTTTTTGGCTGATCCATACTCAAAAGCTCAAAACTAGATGTCTGCGAGGTTCTGCAGGCCATCAGCAGCAGTAATTTCCTACCTTGCTGTTCCTTCACTGTTGTGTGAAAATCAAACTCTCCCTCATTAACAGAATCTTGGATGTATGTGCACCATGTGGACTGCAGCAGTTTGAGAAGGTGGCTCAATACCACCAAGGAGAATTATGGAACAGCACATTCTAAGAATGATTTTGCTTTTAAAAACCATGAAATATTTTGGTTTAAAGTCTCATCTGAAAGACAGCAGCAATGACACAGTGCAGCACTCCCTCAGTGGTGCACTGGAGTGACAACGCTCAAACTCCGTGGTCAGATCTCTGGATATGGAGTTTAACCCACAGTCTTCTCATGCATGTACAGGAACACTGCCTGTGAGATGTGACTGAGCCCTACATTTATATCAAATGAAGTTTATAAATTCCTCTTACAGCTAAAATGAGAGAAAAGGCCAGACTAGGGATCAAACCTAAGAATGTCAGAAACCATGCCTTACAACACTGAATATGAATGAATTAAATAACACTGGGTTAGATATGTCCCAGTTACCATTTTCCTAGTATTTGGAAGAAGGATGGTGGCATTTTGGTAATATCACTAGACTCGTAATCCTGGGGCCCAAATTCAGATCACGTTGCTAATTCTAGAATTGAAAGATAATCTTAGTAATGGTGACCATTAAACCATTATCGATTATTGTAAAAACACATCTTATTCATTAATGTCCTTCTCCAGAGGGAAATCTGCCATCCTTACCTGGTCTGGCCTCAAGACCCACAGCAATGTCATTTACACTTAGCTGCCCTCTGAAATAACCAAGCAAAACATTCAGTTCAAGGGCAGTTAGGGACGGACAACGAATGTTGGCTTGTCAGAGACACCTGTGTTCCAGGAAAGAATATTTCTTTTAAAAACCCTTTTTAATTTCTGGGGATGTCAATATGTGTATTGCTATACTTCTTAATGCAATAAGGGTAAAGATTCGAACCAAGCCCTCAATGTACACTCAGCCAATGTAGATTGCATTAATCCTGGGGCCCCAGAGGAAAGACAGATTTTGGCCATACGATCCTTACTTAAAAGAAAGATAGAAAGGGATATGAAAGTCACAGCCAAAATGATACAAAGAGGGTCATTCAAAGGCTGAAACTTGTAGAAGAAAGGAACTGCAACACTAGGGGGCAGTAGCTGGAGGAGCTGGAGTCATTGGAAGAGGCATTGAGTATAAGCATAGGCAGGTTATGCAAGTTTATAGAACTTCAGTTAGACTACACTTGGAATATTGTGTACAGTTCTAGTCATCACACTACCAGAAGGATGTGGATGCTTTAGAGAGGGTACAGAAAATGTTTACCAGGATTTTGCCTGGTATGGGAGATTTTAGCAATGAAGAAAAGTAGGACAGACTGGGTTTGTTTTCACTGGAACGTAGGAGGTTGAGGGGTGCCCTGTAGAAGTTCATAAGATTGTGAATGGTGTGGATAGAGTGGAAAGTATGAGGCTTTTTCCCAGGGCGGGGGGTCAGTTACTAGGGGACACAGATTCAAGGTGGTGGGGTAGGAAGGAATGTTTAAAAGAGATGTGTGAGGCACATTTTTCATACAAAAGGTGGTGAGTGCCTGAAATGTGCTGTCAGAGGGGATGGCGGAAGCAGACAGGATAGCAATGTTCAAGAAGCACCTGGACAAAAACAAGAAGGAAAAAGAGGGATTTGGATTCTGTAAGTGAAGACAGTTTTAGTATGGAAGGGCAAAATGTGTTGGCGCAGGCTTGGAGGGCCGAAGGGCCTGTTCCTGTGCTGTATTGTTCTTTGTTCTTTGTTTGATATAGGCAAGCAACTACATTTTAAATGTAAAATCCACCAAACAAAAGTTAGGAATTTGAATTCAGTCAATCTAGTCATTTGGATAAGATTTGCAAAAGTTGCCCAACTGGTTCACAAATGTCCTCCAGGGAACATTCTGCCATTTTACCTGTCCCTGACCTCATTCGTCATTGACTTCAGAACAATGGACATATTATAAATAGCTGCTGCATGTTGCAGACACAAAGCTCACTGTTTTGGAATCAATTACAGAGGAGGTGAAGAATGTACACAAGAGTATACACAGAATACAGACCAACCCGGAACGAGAGTCAGTAAAATCAGAAAGCATCTGCCTAATGTAGATCCTAACATCTCTTCATATCTGCCAATTAATAGAGCTTTTTCGTCAGAACTGAAAGATAAATGAGTCCCTTAAGGGAGAAAAAGAGGGAGTGGAGGAGAGGAGAATTTGAGGAGGTACAGTCAGTCGCCTTGTTAATGGTCTTTAATTTATTTGTAGGTGGTGAGCATTCACTTGAGATCTCATATTGGCACCGACTAAAATTCTAGTGGTTGGATAGGAGGTGCCTGTTAGTAATAGAGAATTCTGTAACTAAACATAATTGAGTGTAAATATTGGCTCCAGTTCTATTCTTGACCATTTACTTCTCTAGAAAAGAATATGGAAACAGTGAAGCGTGGCCATAAGATGAAGGTTGAAAGCTGAGAGAAAATCACTGAGGCCATTGTGAAAAATGACAGAAAGCCAGGGTAAAATCCTAATGTGTTCAGATTCTCAACAATTCGACCAGAGAAAGGATGAAGTGCACATGTAGAAAGCGTTACGTCACTACAAATTAGGAAACAGGGTATGACCTTGGGATTGCTGTTCCTTAACAGAAGTAAGTCATTTTATGAGTTGAATTGTTGTAATGAAGATTTGGACCTCCTTTAGAGTTCTTAGATGAAATTTATAAGAAAGATGTATTAATTGTAAGGCGTTCGGGGGACATTGATAGATTTTGGAAACAAGATGGCTGTAGCATTGAAGAACATATCATGGACTTTGACAGAATTCACTTGGGGGACCCCTGGATAAACACTGTCAACTAACTTGCTGAATTGTGCTAAGGTGCCTCACGGACAGGCTCCTGGTCCTAACATGTGTTCAGTTCTCTTGGAGAGGGAGAACTTATTGGATCGGAAAAATATTATTTGTAAAATATTCCCAGGAAACCAATCTTTTCCTTCAGTGTTTGTGAAAGAAATGGGGCACAAAAAGAAGGAGTCAGTGATTGCCACCTTTTGAAATGGCCCGGATACTGGATGCAGGCATCAATACAATGGAAGAATTAAAGATGAACAGAATGGGGATGAATGCACCTTTAGCAGATCTAGCTATTATAACAGAAGAAAGAACTGGTAAAAACAGAAATCACAGAATCGTTATGGTGCAGAAGAAGGCCATCCAGCCCATTGGCATTAACTAATTGAACTGGTGCAGATACAATCTCCTGCTGTTCCCCACATCCTGGCACATTATTATGAATGAAATGACTATCCAATGCCCCCCTCTTGAATCCTTCAATTAAAGCAACTGCCACCAGATTTCCAGGCAGTGCATTCCATGCCCTCACTACTCATTGTGTGGAAAGGTCTTTTCTTACATCACTTTTCCTTCATTTGCAGACCACTTTTAAATCTGTGAAAGAGTTTCATTCTACATTTTGTAGATTTAATCTTCCTGTGCAAATATATTGGAAGGGCAAAAGTGTTATCATAGACAACATTATGAAGAAATGAATAGGAGTAAAGACTCTTTCTGATAATAGAAAGGATTGGCAATGGTGAATTGAGAGACATATGTGAATACTTTACCATGGTCTGCACTGAAAGTCCTTTCAGTAACAAACTCTGAAGAGAATTCTGCAGTGATGAAAAGCTGCAACAAATTTAGCTGCACAACCAGACTGCAAGTTGAAAACATCCTGTGTGGCCCATGCAAAGGATTCACTACAGACAATTGTAAGATGTCGTACCTATCAAGCAGTCTGTGAGAGAAATCCGTTCAATTCTGTCTGATAGTCCTCCTACTCTATTACAAGCTACAATTTTTTCCAATTCCTCGAGAGCTCTACGTGCAAGACAGTGAGTTTTTGTCTAGGCTGATGTCTTGGGGGGAAAAAGCAAGGAGAGCTTTGAGGTATATAATACCATCTGAGACAGAATTTAGTGCAGGAGATAAGGTGTTTTATAAAAGAGAGGATAATGGGGAGTGGAAAGGCTTGAGTGAGGTGATGGTGAGGCTGCACCTCGTTGATGTGGCACTCAAAATGTTGAAGTTAATTCCTCATGATTTAACAGAATTAATAGATATTTTCTAATCAGCTTGTTCAGGGATGTTAGAACACATCTACAGAGCAGGTGAGACTTGAACCAGGGCCTCTTGACTCAGAGGTAGGACGCTACTGCTAAACCGCAAGAGCCCTTAAAATCAATGTCAGTACAATCTCTTGAATTCTGAACATCTGAGGGAACTAAGCCAGGCAGCTTCTACCTCAATCCATCATGTGGTTTTAATCATGGAGCTGAGGAACAGAATAAAGTAGATCAGGGCCTGGTTAGTGACAAGCTGAAAGATCATCGTGTACAGGTTTCAAAGCTAACATCCAAAGGCTAGTTGCAGCAGTCGCATTCTCAGCAATGCCAAGGTACTGGTATTTTAGTTTTGCTTTGATTAAGAGCATCCTAACTCCAAATTGAGTTTTTCATCTAATTTAATCTACAAAGCTTCAGCGAGCATCAAGGTATGTTGTGCATCACACTCTAAAGTTGTAAAGAGAAATTGAGTTAGATTAGGAAGTTATACAAAGCATTGTTACAATACAGATGAATGCCATTTACCCCTCTTTCTCACTCTGTTTTCCTTATAGGGCCATGCAGATGGCCAGTCCCTGATGAATCCAGTGACAGCTCTGAGCCGCCCATCCAGCAGCGTGACTGTGATAAAACATGGAGCAGTATTGGACAGTTTGCTGCCGTCTGTGAAATGGGAGATTCTGCAAGGTAAAACCACAGATGTTTGATGTGTGTACAAAACAAAACAAAGCCTCGAACTGAAATGAGGAACATGAGATTAGGCAACATATTAAAGCCTGCCATTTAGCTATGTAGATGGACATGACAGAACTTTGAGGAGCTGTGCACACAGCAGTCCAATATCAGACAGAGTTATTCACCATTCAGTGCAATGAATCTCTGTCAGTTATTCTGCAATGGCCCTGACATGTTACATATTACTCTTTCTCCTGTCACCTCAAATGGTTACGATTGTCACCACCTGTGACGGATAGATTTCATTCAATTCTTACCATTTCAAATAATTTTTGTAAGTTCAAAGTCTGGAACCTTAAGTGCCTGTAAGATTATTATATCTTGGAGTTACTTCCTACCATCTTTCAATCTGCTACTTCAAGAGACACCAAGACCGTGGGATATATCACTTCACCAAACCCATTGGTCTCGAAATCTTCCCAATCTAATTTTATCAGATATCTGATTTTATATGCCTCCATTAATATAGTGAAGAAAGAAGTTTGAGATTCATTCTTTAACAAGCTATAAAGCAATGTTATTAATATGTCCACAACCCTCAAATAACTTCCTGTATTTCAGTTCTAGGTTTGAAAATTGGCGCGTTTTTTCATCTGTATGCAAGTACCTGATACAAGAATCAGTATCTTAGCCCTGAGGCTTCTTGTGCTGAATGCAGAACAATTCACTTTTACCTAAAGGAGGTTGTTGCCCAGAGTATGAGTCGGATCCCCTTTCCTTTAGGATTCTGTCCTGTTTCCCAGACAAAATTCCAAATGTACTACCAGCAAGTCCTGTATCCTCCCACCAACCCAGCAACAAAGGATAATGTCGAGAATCCTATCCTTTAAAATGGTCCCGCTGGAATCAAGTCATCCTTTCAGGCCTCCTGAAGGCCTTACACTAAACTAAGGCCATCAATCTAGTCTCCTCAATCAGAGACTGAATTGCTGCCATTCAACCAGAGGATTAAAAAAAAAACTCTTAATTGTGTCAATATCAAGAAACAAATGTGGACTGGAGGCTTTTGTGCCTGAGTTTTGGATGTCTTTTTGAAGATGGAACTAGCAGAATAGATGAGGGGCAACTGGTGGATATGGTATATTTATTTTTCTTAGAAAGCTTTAGATAAGGTGAGACACAAGAGGCAACCAAAATTACCACTCGTGCAGTTGGGCGGAGCATGCTGGCATGAATTGTGAACTGGTTAATGGGTAGAAAAAAGAGTAGAAATAAATGGGTCATTGTCAGGTTAGCAGGCTATGACTCGGGCCCAAGCTAGTCACAATCCATATCACTGATTTGGATGCGAGGGTTAGCAATATCCTTTGTCTGCAGCATTTGTTGCATACCAGCAGGAGCAATATATAACCTGTTGTTTCTCACTTTTTGTAAAGTACAAATTGTCCCACAGTGACTATCTACACAACATTTGATGCTGTATTATCTGCAGTGTATACATATTTCAGATTCCCACTAAAAACATATGCTAAATAGAATCCCATATCCACTTCATGTACAAGAACCAGTGTTTCAGCTTCGAAACAGCTTTCAAAAACCTTATTATTTTCTCCAGTTCCCAAGCTAAGGAATGACATTTTGAAACCAGCTGCATGAGCGTACCCAAGAAAACATCAGCAACGTTAAAAATGAGTGGTCTCATGTTCTTTGGATTTCCTAAGCTTAGAAACCTAAATATGCATTTCTCCAGTGTAAACTTCTAATGCTTGATTTCCATTCAAACATTCACTATTTCAGGGTATTATCACTACACCTAATCCAGAGTCCCAGATAATGTTCTGGGGACCCAACTTCAAATCCCACCATGGTAGATAAATTAAAGAAAAATCTGGAATTAAGAGTCTAATGATGGCCATGAAACCATTGTCAATTGTCGGAGAAAACCCATCTAGTTCATTAATGTCCTTTGGGGAAGAAAATCTGACACCCTTACCTTGCCAGACCTACAGTAATGTGGTTGACCCTTAACTGGTCTCTGGGCAATTAGGGATGAGCAATGAGGCCTATTCAGTGACACCTACATCCTGTGAATAAATTAAAAAGCATTCACCTATTATACCTCAAATCCAATCCATCAAAACTACTTTTCAACCGGTTTCATTGACCAATGATGTCTTGTAATTGAGGAGCAAATTACTGCAGATGCTGGATACTGTACTCAAAACAAAAAATGCTGGAAATCACAGCGAGTCAGGCAGCATCCATGGAGAGAGAAGAAGCTAACGTTTCGAGTCTAGATGACCGTGCATCAGAGCTCTGATGAAGAGTCATCTATACCCAAAACGTTAACTTGTTCTCTCTCCATGGGTGCTGCCTGACCCGCAGTGATCTCCAGCATTTTTTGTTTTCAGTACAGAATCCAGCATTTTCTGAAGAAGGGTCTCGACCCGAAACGTCAGCTTTCCTGCTCCTCTGATGCTGCTTGGCCTGCTGTGTTCATCCAGCTCTACACCATGTTATGTCTGAAAAGTGTTGCCTTTTAGAAATGCAGCTCAGGTGTATTTTGATCAGTACTCTCCCGTGAATATGTAGCTAAAGAGTTCAAAAGATTTTCAAGGTTACTTCCAAGGCGTGGACAAATCCACACTAATACCTGTAACATCCAGTTACTCTACAAAGCTCCTAGCAACTTCAGTTAAACAAGTCCCACCTACAAGATCTTTTTCAAAACAAATCCTTTTATGTGACAAAACTGCTTGATCCGTATCTGGTTTCTGAGAAGAAACTCTAACTGTCTAATTCCCTTTGCTTTTGCTTTTACTATTTGAGATTCAGGTTTACACCAAAACCTCATGATCATTAGAATTTCTGTTTCTAATTCCAGTTAAGGACTGTCTTTTTTTTTGAAGCTACAACCTCTACTTGCATGTTCGTGTCTGTCAGTATTAATTGGCCTTCCTCCAGTGTGTGATCATTGACTAATGCAAGAGTCACGTTTAGACCCATAATCATTGCCTGTAGTGCACTTTCTTACTCCCTACTCTTTCTCTCCATTCTGTCAGTTTATGGACCCCATGTCTTGGCTTCAATTATGAACACTCAGCCTATATTTAAACTTGCAGGAGCATTTCCTGCTTTCCCACAATTGTCACATTCTCTCGTTCACTAGAGGTCTCTAGAGTACAGTACAAACTGTGGACAGGTAGCCTTTGGATGTAATAGCTCTGTCCTGTGTGTCATGATCACTCACATTATCATGATTTAGCCTGTTCCTCAAGATTTAAAGTACAAGTTTTGTTTATTCTGTCAGCTGCTCAGAGTCCCAGATTTTGTAATTAATTCTGATTAATCGTGAAGAGTGAACATAACGGTTAGATCACATATTTGTTAAGGTCCTTCCTTCTCATGACCCATTACTTACCAGAGCTTCCATTCCATAAGATACAGTCTTTTGGAATGCACCAACTGTCCTGATTAAATTCTGTCATAGACTCATAGAGATGTACGGCACAGAAACAGACCCTTAGGTCCAACTCGTCCATGCTGGCCAGATATTCTACATTAATTTAGTCTCACTTGCCAGCATTTGACCCATATCCCTCTAAACCCCTCCTATTCATATACCCATCCAGGCACCTTTTAAATGTTGTAATTGTACCAACCTCCACCACTTCCTCTGGCAGCTCATTCTGTACACACGCCACCTTCTGCATGAAAAAGTTGCCCCTTAGGCCCCTTTGAAGTCTTTCCCATTTCACTTTAAACCTATGCCCTCTAGTTTTGGACTCTCCTACCCTGGGGAAAAGACCTTGGCTATTCACCCTATCCATGCCCCTCAGGATTTTATAAACCTCTATAAGGTCATCCCTCAGCCTCTGACACTCCAGGGAAAATAGCCCCAAGCCCTATTCAGCCTCTCCCTATAGTTCAAACCCTCCAACCCTGGCAACATCCTCATAAATCTTTTCTGAACAGTTTCAAGTTTCACAACATCTTTCCTATAGCAGGGAGACCAGAATTGCATGCAGTATTCCAAAAGTGGCCTCACCAATGTCCTGTACAGCCACAACATGACCTCCCAACTCCTATACTTAATGCACTGACCAATAAAGCTTGAATGGTTTTATACAATGCCACGAAACAGCCTAATGAAGCCCCTGTCTCTGCATGTGGAGCACTCAGCAGGCAAAATATTCTAGAGCAAGAGGACTCTCACAGAAAGAAATTTGGGTCTTCACCCATAAGCCAGAATTTTATGCCTGCTCATAAAGGATGGGATTAGAACCAATCTTCACACATTTTTTGTTTAATTTATAGAATTTCACAGTACAAGGATACACTTCCTAATACAATAATTACCGTCTTTGTGTCTATTTTTACTGGGAATCAGGTGAATCCCCAGTTAATGCCCACCATCTGCATTCAAATAATCTCTATATAAAATAAATACAGATCACTCATGATCTTATTCAGTGTTAGAACAGATTTGCATCACCTACTTCTGTCCCATGTTCCCATTCTTAATTTCACAATACGTTTTGAGTCAAAAAGTGATTCTGCTTCTTGCTAAAAATCTTTTTAGTTAACAGATGAGTTGTGCTGTTGCAATAGATCTGATCCGGATTATGGAATGAGAACATGAAATTCTTACAACATTTAGTCTGGCATGAGGACAAATGAATTGGAACCCAAGCCACGCAGTACTTTACACCAAAAGGGCTTGAAAGCTGGGTTTTTTGATTTGCAGTAAATGGAAAATAAAACAAATAGATTGAGTAATCGTGATGAAAGTCAAAATGGCATTCAGATTGAAGCTTTGGGTTATTTCTCCATTTAATAAGTTACATATATTGGCAAAGGCAGCAAGGGAGTTTTGGGCTGCTCTGGTATCAGGTCAGAATTGATTGTCTGAGTCCTTTACAGTCTATATACAATCATCAGAATCTGTGTGACTGATCAATATGTTGTAGAGATTGCAAGTCCCTGAGAAACGAAGTTGTGTACAGGTGTTT